TGGGAGGTGACGGAGTGGCCGGCCGGGCCTGACCCCGCGCAGCACGAGTGGATCCAGCAACTGTGCCGGGCACCGCCCTGCTCTGTCCGGTGGACAGCGACTGCCAGCAGGCCGTGGGCTTCGTCGTGACCACGCTGAGGCTGGTTCAGAAGCTGCTGCTGGACAAGATCTGTGACCAGGTCGTGGAGTTGCCCCGGAGATGTCGCCGGCAGAGGCAGGAATCTACTCGGGGCCTGCCGGGAGCCGGGAGCTCCACTGCAGGTCGCCCCCAAGCCATCTCCCGTCAGCCAGCAATGGGCAGCCCCGGCCCTGCACAACAAAGTTGTTTTTCTTGGTTAGGGGGAAAAAAAAGGAAATCTTAGGCTTTCAAGGCCTTCACCCTTCAGCGTAGTACCCTAAAAATAGGTTGTGCAGTAATATTTATCGTGCTAGAGACTTCTTCAGGCACCCATCTCATTTCTTTTGGCTCCCAAAAGCCCTAGAATAAAGCTAATTTCGTCATAAATCACTTTCTTAAATATGAAAATTATTGGGCCAGTGATTTGGCTCAGTGGTTCTGCTACCTGCCTTGCAAGTGCAAGGGTCCGAGTTTGATCCCCGGTACAAAAGAAAAAAGAAAATTCTTTGAGGACTCTTATCATTAATATTTCATAACCTGAAACATTATTTTAATGTTATTTGTATCTTACACCTTTCTTACATGTGAGGAAGCAGTTACACAGTCAACCATAATAATACAAGAAAATATAAGTACTGCAAGTGCGTCTAAGAAAGCCAAGCAGAAAAATGTCCCTGCTGCATCTAGAAGTAAATTAACATTTAAAACTCCAACGACTAGGAGGAACATTTTATCTCTTGAGAAATAGAATCTGTATTACTGGTAATATGTGAGAACAAGACTTATGTTATAAACTATGTAATGACTGCATTTCCAGAAAGGACACTTTTCAGTTTTTGTTGGTTCTTTCTATAGTTCTTCAGGGACTCTATCGGCTACTGAGACATTAGAAGTTATTCTGCATCATTGGAAGCTTTGTCAAAAGATGTTTCAAAGACATTTTTTTCACATTGCATTCTTAAAACTTACTGGAGTGTTTCGTCAATCCAAAGATTTCACTGGCTAATTCTAGCTATGTAATGTTGCATCTGTTACACACCATTTGGGGCAAAAGGTGTATTCGGAATACCTGATAATCTACCTGGTTACGTATTTTTCCCATTATAGAACTGTTATAAGTATTGTAGTCATTATTTAATTTTAGCTCTTACCTTCACCTGAGATCATGTGTAGTACTAGAAAGCAGGAAGATAAATAGTATGTAATTTGGAAAATATAATTTGTTAGAATCTGAGACTATAAACCTGAAATGCAAACTTTTAACTTTAAGGATATTAAAAAACATAATATTTTTATATTCATAAACTGGCCATCAAGGTGCACCTACTTTCTACATTTTTTTTGTTTTGTTTTGTTTTGTTTTGTTTTTTGAGACAGGGTCTATGTAGTTAAGACTGACCTGGAACTCATACCTACTTTCTACATTTTTTTTGTTTTGTTTTGTTTTGTTTTTTGAGACAGGGTCTATGTAGTTAAGACTGACCTGGAACTCACTATGTAGCCTAGGGTGGTCTTGAACTCACAGTGATCCTCCTGCCTAAGCCTCCCGAGTGCTGAGATTACAGGCATGCACCACCATGCCCGGCTATATTTTCTTGATGGTATAATCTGGTTTTCCTAATGAGAAAGCAATAGGATCAGAATAACAGTAACAAATGCCCTGACTCTGTATACAAACAACCCAAAGGACTCCCACTAAGGTTTTTAATTTTACAGTTTAATGTATTTTTTGTAGAATCAGTAAGTTCCATGAAATAACCCTTCTGTCAGAGATGCATATCCAACATCTACTTTCACTTCCCCTAATGGCAGAGCCCTGATAAAGTGCTTAGCCAAAAAACGCACTTTCCTGGACTCCACAGCAGCTGGTGGTGGCTGGCGGTCACAAGTTCAAGTCAATTAAGATGAAAACTTTTCCCTACCAATACAGGCACTCTTTCCTGTTCCTTCTTTTCTACTACAGAACACAAAGGTGTTCTCTACAGGTGCAGCCTGTCTTGAAACTATATAAGAGGAAACACACAAAGGTGAAAACCTTCCCACTGAAAGACCAAAACGCCAAGACACTGATGAAATGGTGAAGCCACTGCAGGAGTCAGATTCTGTCCTTTACCTCTAAGATGCTATGTGGATTTTCATAATGTATATCTTTACATCCCAAATTAATATAAGATCATGTCACAGTTTAAATTACTTTATCAAGGTCTATTTTCAACTATTTAAAGTTAAAAGTTAAAATGACATAGACATTAAACAAAATACATAAATGTTTCCATTCCTGAGTTTCCTCAGATCTATCTACTCTTTAATAAGTTCAAGTCTTTTTTGTAATTAAAGACTTGACCTTAACCCCTGACCTACTGCAACAGGTCACAACTTAGTTTTATTGTCTCTATTATTTCCTTACCAACTCCCGCTTACAAAAATAAGCTTCAAGAAATCAATTCCTTTACAAACAATCCTAAAACCCTTCATTACCTCCTGGATCCTACACTGAATCCAAATACTTAGTTTCAAATCTCCCACCATGTGAAATTCTTTGCCAATCTCTTCAATTTTAATACACCTCTTGCACGAATGTCGTTACGGTTACGATGGATACCTCATTGTCTTACTGCATCAGTCCCCATGTGTTTCCTGACTATCTTCAACTCTACATTATTCTTTCCCACAAATTTTGAACCCAAATTATATCAGGAACTTTCTGACCCAAAGCCTTTTCATTGTATCAGTATGATTACTATGATCTTGAAGGATCCTTTAAAATTTCTTTTGCAAATATTTAAGAAAATTCTACAGGGCAGGGACAATGTGTCTTCCATTCTCCTTCCATATTCGGCATAAAGCAAGAGCTAAATAGACATGCCTGACAAAACAGTATAATACACTTAAAAATTAAGAGATTATTCACAAGAAGATACTCTTAAAGGCATCTATACCATGGTCCATTAAAAATTTAAGATTTGCCTAAAAGTCTAAATTGAGCAAAAATACACGTTACAGAAAAATTTGCTGCCAGTAGTAAATGTATTTTGTAATAATCTTAAAACAAAATTTAATGGTTTAACTTACAACTAAAATTTCACTGTTTTCTAAAACACCTGAAAATTCTTTAGTGTTGAAAATTATATTTCATTAATTGAACTCTCTATACACAGGGGCTAATGAAAGATAGGTATTGTTTATATTGTGAGGAAGATATTTTTTAAATATCTGGTTAAAATTTTGCAAAAGAAAAAATTGTTTCTAACATGAACTTATAATACTAGGCAAATATAGCTAGAGTATATATGTCAGAGTCCAATGTTTTTCCTGCATGGTAATTGTAAGGAAAATTATAGCATATTCAATCCCAACTTTTTCAAATTTAAATTATTTTTCATAATTATGCTTTATTACTAAAGTATTGCATTTGAATGCCAGTAGAGATGAAGATGTTTTTCCTCTTCATTTAAATCTTGGCAGCCTTAATTCTCAGGTATCAGAGATAAAATTTGATTTAAAAGCCCACTAAGAACAAACCACTTAATCAGAAATCTGTACTTCACAATTAAAGAGTTTCATCACCCACAAAATATGGAGGGAAAACTCAACAGTCTTAAAACATAAAAATGTTCCTTTTTATGTAATGTTTTGAGTTCAGACACAGAGAAAAATAAATAGCAGATGATCTTCCCTTAACTCACTGGTTGTTAACATTCCTAAACCAACGCTTTAGAATAACCTCCTCATATCAGACATATATTTTTACACAGGTAATACTATTTTTCTGCATACTGCAGTATACTAGCTAGGGTTTACTCATTTGAATTCCTAAAAGTCCATAATTAGGTTGCAATTTTAATGTTACCTGACCCCAGAGTCATAATATTTAAAGTATTTGGCCAGATATCTCAGTTCATTTATGCCAATAGTCAGTAGTACTATTAGAAAACTGAGAACTATCAGTAATTTAACATCATTCACATCTCAAACTACTTACTATATTGTCTTCAGCCTTGTTTTCATGAAAACTGCCTAGTTTTGGTGTATCCCTAAAATTGGCCAGAAATTTTGAAATGATAGATTTTCAAACGGACTGTAGACTCAAACACCTAAAGAAGTCCTGCAGTTCACATAAGTAAAACAGGCCTAAATGGAGTGAAGCAAAGAATAAGCCTTCATCCACTATTTAGGTCCAACTGCTTGTGGCTATATTATGGTCAATGTCCAATTTTTCAAATGAAGCCAAAATTAAACTTGTATGTAAAATCTCATTTTTAAATGTAATAAGTTAGGGAAGATTTAGCTCAGTGGCACTTCAACTGCCTGGCAAGTGCAAGGTCCTGAGTTCAATTCCCGGTACCAAAAGAAAAGAAATGTAATGAATCAGTTAACTTAATAAAAACCAAAAACTTTATTTGGGCTTAATAAAATTTATCTGCAGGTCAAACATATTACCTGCACTGCCAGTTTATGACCTCTGGTTTTTCCTTCCCATGACAGCCAGCCAGTTAATGAAATCCCTCCACTCTGAGCACAGACCAGCTTCCTAAATTGGACTACTTGCTGTTATGAACCCAACATGCAAATCTCAGGCTCTCTCAAAGCTGCCCGCAGTCTCAAAGGCAGGACTCTATTCACTCAAGCAGCAGGGATTATGGTGGCTGTTGAGTCTATAATGAATCTTCAAAATGAGACTTAACACACCTAGGTCATTCTTCTTTCAAAGTGTATTTGTTAGAAATATCTTTGACATAAAATCCAAGTATATAAGCCAAAACTGTCCCAACTTCATGCAAGAAGTATCTGTGAAACAACTTGTGTCTTCCATCAGTTCGTCTCTTATACACAGCTTCTAACACATCAGGAAGAGTGATTCCAGTTCGAATCAGAACTCTGAAAAGCTGCTTTCATACAGGTATTTTTAAAGGAAAATTCTGAGATAATAGTGGAAAATTTTTCAAGAGGATGTAGGAAAAATAAGTCCAACGTGCTTGCTTCAGCAGCACATATAATAAAATTGGAAAAATAAGTCCAACAAAGATTTAAGATATCAGTAAGATGGCTTCTATTATTCTTTCATTTATTTCTTTTTCTTTTTTGTCTTTATTTTGGTGCTAAGGATTAAATCTAAAGCAAACACTCCATCACAAAGCTATATCCCTAGCCAGCACCTCTTATTTTCTATTTTGAAACGATTTCACTATGTTGTTCAGGCTGACTTTGAATTTGCAATCCTATAGCTTTAGCCTCCTGTGTAGCTGAGATTACAGGTGTGCACCACCGAGCCTGGTCATTCCGTGTCATGCTCTCATATGAAGGAAATCAAAGCTATCAGGGGCTCAAAAAGGATTATTGTCAGTCACATTATAGTTCCTGAACTTAAGACAATATGAGTTAGAGTTCTGACATACTCAAATATTAGAACACTTTTCATGTTAGCTTTCTCCAAAAAGTATTTTTATTGTTTTTTTGGTACCGGGGATCAAATTCAGGACCTTGCACTTGTGAGGCAGGCCACAGAATCTCAAAAAAGTGTTTTTAATATTATTTTTATTTTTGAAGAGTTAAACGTAATGGTAGAAATCATTTCCTATATATTCCTTATTCTATATAGAGAGAAACTGAAACCTTATAGAATAAGTTTCCTCTTCTATTTCTGAAGCATTTAAGGAAGATTGTGGTATTGGGGCAGGGATTTAGGAGAGTGGTGCCACCTCCTGCCTCGCAAGCATGAGGACCCAAGTTCGATCCCCTGTACCAAAAAAAAAAAAGACTGGAATTAATTCTTTGAAAGTTTGGTAGAGAGCCAGGTGTGGTGGCACATGTCTGTAATCCCAGCACTTGGGAGGCTGAGGCAGGAGGATTGCTGTGAGACCAGCCTGGGCTACAGAGTGAGTTCCAGGTCAGTCTCAACTACATAGTGAGACCCTGTCTCAAAAAAAAAAAAAAGTTTGGTAGTATTCACCATTGAAGCTCTCAGTGTGGGTTTTTCTTGTTGAGATTTCTGATGACGGAGTCAATCTCCTTACTTATACATGCACTCAGATTTTCTATTCCATCACGACTTACTCTTAGTAGACTGTTTCTAGAAATTCATCCATTCTTCAAGATTATATAATTAGCCAACATGTAATTATTTAAAAGTTCCTTATGGGGGCTGGGGATTTATCCAAAGCCTGCCTCACAAGCACAACGTCCCAAGTTCGATCCCCAGAAACAAACAAAAAAAAAAAAGTTCCTTAAGAAGCCTAAATGAGTGGCTTCTTTCCAGGATCTGCAGTACCAGAATCTACCAGACATAGAGGAGGGATACTGAGTCACCACTAAGAACTATTTTGCTTCTATACTCACATTTTTGTGTGCGAATGCTTATCATTAATTGTGATTATCAACATGAGTAAGAAACAGTCACCTGGCTGACATCAGAGTTCTGGATATGAACCTAGATTTGACTGCAAATTAAGTTAGAAATTAAATTCAACGCATATTTACGGCTAAATCTGATCCTACAAACTTACTTCTAAAATGTACATCTCAAGTTATTTAATATAGTGAGATTTTATTTTTGATATTTAAAATATTTGCAATAGCAACCAAACAAATAAAATGAACTAAAGGCAATTTAAAATGAGCAAAATATAACTGCTGAAAAGAAAGTAAAATAGTCCTATGTATTGAGATATTTCAATGGCAGCAAAAATATGCAAATACACACATTCTTCATCCTACCAATATTTTAATAATCCACAGTATAAATTAACATGTAAAAAGTGATTTTATAACATGTTAACACCTAAAATAAACCATCATATAATTTTCAAAAATGTGTTCTTTGACTTCTAACCCCTGCTCTTCTTTAGAATTACCTGTGGGGAAAAATAGAGATTCATATTACACCTATAGAAAATAAAATAATTTCTCAACAAAAGGTTAAATAGCCTTATGAACATAGTATACACATCTAAATATATGAAAGCCAATTTGGAAGTAATTAGTGAATCCTTTGTTCTATAAATGATTTATATTTTCTCTAAAATGGGCTTCATGGGACAGGGATGTAGCGGAGCTGCGCCTCATAAGCACAAGGTCCTGAGTTCAATTGCCGGTACCAAAAGAAAACAACAACAACAAAAAAAAGATCATAGGCATAAAATGGCTTCTTCTCTCAATGAATATTAAACATGTTTCGATTCTCAAAACCTGGTGCTATAGGCACCTCTAATCATTAATCTCTTCAACTATAATTCAAATGTACCCAGATTAATGGTTTCAAACTTGAGGATTTTAGACAACTGATTATCCAAGAAGTTAAACAATACTCTAAAACCCAAAAAGCCTGTATTAAAATCAATCATTTTAGGATTATAAAGTAGTATAAACTCGGTGCAACATAAAACTTTTTATACTGGGGCTGCAATTATATCAACTGGAGAACAAGACTGTTCATCTTTTGCAGAACACCTTGTTAAGTAGTTAATTTTCAAAACATACTACTGGTGGGAGAAATAAGACAAAAGGAAATCTTTAATTATAAGTATGTGGAGACTACCAGGCTAGAATATCTCCAATTTTATTTTAAAAGAACTTAGCTATTATTTTAGGTAAGCCACCTATAATTAAGAAATCCTAAAGTTACTCTTTAAGGTCTTAATCCTTATTTTATTTTCAGAAAAAAATACCTATTTTAATATTTAAAAGGTTTGTAATTAAGAGAATTAAAAAGTGCCTAAAAATTGCCAGGGCACACCCATTCTCAGCTTCCCACACACAGCACTGAATAGGTCCATTACCTAGGCCAGCACTCTGCTGTCCTGCAAGATATTACTACAGGTACTGCAAAAAAAAGTATCACATACTCAAATGAATTTACAAAATGCTAAATATATTATATATTCAAATGAATTTGTAAAATGCTCAGTGCAGTAGAATTCAGTTTCATTCCTGGTATATTTTTCATAAATTTATATAGTTTTTAATATTTTGTGCATCAATACTTTGAAATAATTTTTAAAAACATGAACAAAGTCTGACAAAATCAAATTACTCCCACATCATTCCCTAGTCAACCATGATTGCCAATTTCTTGAATATTCTTGTGGATCCAGCTCGTTCGCGCTCTCTCTCTCTCTCTCTCTCTCTCTCTCTCTCTATATATATATATATATATATATATATATACACAGCACTGACTGATCATGGAGGTATTGTGGTATGTTAGATTATTAACATTTATCTCAGCACAAAAGCTTCTGAGAAGAGAATTTATTAACATCTTTTAGAAATAATATTCTCAGAAACACGTGGAAACTACCCTACCTGACACATTCTTC